CCGAATGTAATGAAAAATAATAGTAATTTTTACCAAAAAGGGGGAACTTTAACCCTTTGTAGAAAACGTTGCGATGCGAGGGAGCAAAACCTTCCTGGGGTTTGACCACCATTAAGGAATGCTAACGTAATTTTCACACAGCCACCTAGTACTTGTATACGTATGTGGGATCCCAGAATAAAAATAACGAATGGAAAAATTAGCAAAAAAAAGTGTTTGCTCTTTATTTAAAGTCTGTTTAAAATATAAAAAAAAAATACTCAGTAAAATCAACTTGTCTTTGTTTTATCTCTAATAATTGAGGAGTTAGATGGAATGAGTTAGATGAACAGAAGCTGCTTCGGTTAAAACTGATTTCTGAGATATTGGCGTTAAAGTTTTTGATGTGTTATAACTTTATTGTTGTTGTAGTATTGGAAAAAGTTGTCTACTGCGGAAAAAAATCGTTAGATTACTAGTATTCGACCCTAATTTAACTGTAATAAACGCTTTCGATCGTAAATATGTTACCTATGTTATTAAACGAGTAGTATTTAGTTCCTTCAAACGATGTATGTATTTCAATGTGCATACAACGTGAAAATTTTGTACAAAATTCCTTAGGCGCCGAACGCCGCCGCCGCCGCGCTTATATTTTCGTAACTCGGCGGCGGCGAGTGAGGAATGACAAAAATCGGCGGCGGCGGCGGCGGTGTGGCTCGGCGGCGTATACCTCTAATCTGCATGCCGTTGTTTAGCGCTGCGATTAGTAACCGATTTGGTGTACGCCTATATCCGCGGCATATATCATATATGCCTAATTACATACACACATACATATCGACGTACTTACATATGTGCGTAAATTGGTTGTTTATTAGTTGTGTTTTTTTACAAATTATCCACTAACTTGCCAGTAACTCTCCAGTAACTTTATTTCTAAGAATTCGCTCTCATAGAAAAAAATTTGCAAAAAAGTACGCGAACGCTTTTCCAGTAATAATTTGCAAGTTTCATGAACAGCTCATAAAC